GACAAGCACGGGAATTTCTTGAGCTTTGGTTCTCCACCAAGAAGGCCATCAATAGATACATAGAATTAGACCCTATATATACACCACTGCGAAGAAAAACCGGAAATGAGGTAACCAATTCCAATGGACCCCAGAGTTTAAATACCAGGCGGGAAAACACAACAGCGCTTCATCGGAGGCTGCACTGATGATGTTACCCAACAGGGTAATGAAACTCTGCAAACTAACAAACCAGCTCAGCGAGCAAACCAACCGCAGCATTTTATGCTACTTGACATTGTGCATTTTGCTGTCTGAGTGCTATACCCCTCTGTTTTAAAGTTATCATTCCCTTTCTGAAAAAAAACTCGTAAAAACGTGCTCCATCTCCCCATGGTGGATTCATACCATGTGTTATTTTCATTGTAATAATGAGGAGCTGTAGAGCAATATGAAGACAATGACCTTGTCTCAGCATTTAGGAGATGGTTTGGAACTCTTTTATTCATTGGCCATGCAAGTAGATAGGATGGTACAGAAGACATATGACATGCTTGCCTTTATTGGTCAGAGAATTGAGGATGTCATGTTGCAGTTTTACGGGACTCTGGTTAGGCCGCACTTAGATTATTGCTTTCAGCTCGTCGCCACATTACAGGAAGGCCTTGGAGAGGGTGCAGAAGAGGTTTACCATGATGCTGCCTGGATTAGAAGATATGAGCTATAAGGAAAGGCTAGAAAAACTCTGGTTGTTTTGTCTGGAGTGGCAGAGGCTGAGGGGACACTTGATAGAAGTCTATAAAATAGATAGGGTTGACAGTCAGAATCTTTTTCCCATAGTTGAAATGTCTACAACTAGTGGATATGAACTTAAGGTGGGGAGGGGGGGTAAGTTCAGAGGAGATGTGAGGGACAAGTTTTTTTTTAACACACCATGGTAGGAGTTTGGAATGCGCTGCCAGGGGTGGTGGTGGAGGCAAAAACGATAGGGGCATTTAAGAGACTTTGAGATAAGCATGTGAATATGCAAGGAATGGTGGGATATGGACCAAGCACAGGCAGAAGCGAATAATCTGTTCGGCACAACATAGTGGACCAAAGGGCCCATTCCTATGTTGTATTGTTCTGTGTTTTATGTTCTGTGTTCATTCATGGATTGTAAGTGCTGCAGGTAAAGTCAGCATTTGTTGCCCCCATCTGTTTTTTTTATTTCAAAATGTCATAGGAATTCTGCTTATGTAAATGAAGTTTATCATTGACCCATTCATGTTGAGTTGTGCTGATTTGATTCTGACACTTACATTCTTTTGTTGAACAGAGTTTTATATTTAATAATAATGTGCCTATCTGTGCTCCCTGCTACTGTAGAATAAATCAAACAACAGCTTACAGAGCCTGCACGTATACAGTTAAACAGTGAACTATCTTGGATGGCTTTAGTTTTAACTTGACTTGCACCGACCCTCTGAAAGATTTCCTTGTTCAGTTCCTTCCACTACAATTCCAGCCAAAACTTGGTTTACTCGTCAATAGTAATTGCATTCCAGGGTGCTTTGGTGACTTGGACAACCTATAACAGGTCCCTCAAAGCAGGTGGCAGTATCACTACTGACGTTTCGCAAGATCCTTCAAATTCAGAGACCATAAAAGTAGTGCAAAAGTAGCATCCTCTCCCAAACCAACATGAAGCCCTAACCATTCAAAGCCAGCTTTGCTTAAACTTTGCAAGAGACCCCCAAGATGACAACTGAGATGCAACGGGAATGTCTTCAAAGCAACCACAAAGATGCCAAGCCAACTCCCTGAAATCCCTTAGTGACAAACTAAAATGGGGAGACTTTGATAGGAACATGCAGGAGCAAAGTCAAGGTTTCGAAAGAGTGCACAAACCTCCCAGCATTTCATCTATCTGACCTTCCAAGCACCATTTGCCCTGCATGCTGCAGGTGTATGTCGATTGCTCATTGGACTTATCAGTCACCTTAAAACCCCTTGAAACGTGGAAGCAAGTCCTCCTCGATCCCAAGGGACTGCTGAAGAAGATTAATTTTGCCAGCCAGTATTTGATTTTAAATATACTTGCGTTCCTATCTAAAGGTTTCATTATATTTGTAATGACCGTACACTCAATCATAGATTAAATGATTATCTCTCTTTGTTCTGTTCTGTAGTTGCAGCTGCCTCTTAAAGGAGTGTTTTGCTTGTGACATTTGGCAACAAGTAACCAGAAGGAAAGGCTGTCAAATGGGCAGCCAATGCAATCATTTAACAAATTGCCAAATAATCAGCCTTTATTTAAAATCTTGTCATATTTAGAATCCAACATTTTTAATCTATCAAATTGACACTTGCCACATACACTTAAACCTACCTGAATAGTTGAGCCATACAGGCTAGGCATGTTCCAGGACTCTGACTAAATAGAATCATGGCTACATGGAAAGAGAATGCACAGGGGAATGGGGTGAAAGTTTTTAATAATTCGGAGGGTGAGAGTGTCACTCGCAAGGCCAATGTTTATTGCCAATCCATAATTATGATGAGACGTAGGAACAGGGGGAGGCTATTCAGCCCATTCAGTCTACTTTGTCATTCAGTGAGATACTGCCTGATCTAATAACGTTCAACTAAACTTTCCTGCCTTTTTCCCCATAATCCTTGATTCCCATACTGATTTAAAATCTGTCTACCTTAGCCTTGAATATACTCAATAACCCAGCATTGACAGCTGTCTTTGGTAAATAACTCCACAGATTCACAACGCTTTGAGAGAAGAGTTTCCTTCTCGTCTCTGCCCTAACTGTGCAACCCTTTATTCTGTGATTATGCCCTCTGGTCCTGGACACCCATAAGGAGAAACAACTTTTCTAGATTCACCCTGTATGTTTTGATAAGGTTACTTATTCTGTTAAACTCCAATGAATACAGATGCAACACTTTTCCTCGTAAGGCAATCTCTCCATACCCGTGATCAACTTGGTAAACTTAGTGAACTTTCTTAGGATTGTCTCCAGTGCTAAGGGGACCAAACTGTTTACAATATTCTATGTTTGCTCTAACCCATGCCTTGTATAGTTTTAGCAAGTCTTCCCTACTTTTATACTCAATTCCCTTTGAAATAAAGGCCAACATTCCATTTTCCATCTCTTATATGCCGAACTTGGATGCTAGCTTTTTGTGATTCAATTGCAAGGACTTATAAATCTCTCTGTGCTACAGTTTCTTTCAACCTTTCCGTGCATAACTTCACGCTTTCCTGCATTATATTCCTTCTACCAAGTTTTTGCGCACTCGCCACCTATTTATATCCCTTTGTAGACTTGTCATTCCTATCATTTGCCTTCCCACCTATTATTATGTCATCTGCAAACTTGGCTATAGTACATTCACTTCTCTTATCAGTCATTAATTATCAACAATAATGAACCCAGTGCTAATACCTGTGGCACTCCACTACTTACAGGTAGCCATCTTGAAAATGCTCCCTTTATCCTAACACACTCATCTATTCATGACAGCTAAACCTTTAACCATGCTAATATACTACCTCCAACACCATGGGCTCTTATCTTATGAAGTAGTCTAATGTGTAGTACTGATGCCTGCTGAAAATCCAAACATATTACAGCCACTGCTTCTCCTTTCTCCATCCCATTTGTTACCTCAAAGAATTCCAGGAAATTTGTCAAATATGATTTCCCTTCCTTGATCATATGTATTTCTAAATGCTGCAATTACTTTTACAGTTAGAATAACTTTAACATTTTCCTAATAACATTCATTAAGCTAACTGGCCTCTGGTTAGTAGAAACTAACCTGTTTCTTGATTCTTTCTTTTTATAAATAAAGGTGTTATGTTGGTAGTGTTCCAATCTCTGGGGCTTCTCCAGAATCCTTAGATTCTTGGAAGATTATGACCAGTGTCATCCATTACCTCTGCAATTAATTCCTTTCATTATGCAAGGATGCAACCTATCAGGTCGTGGGGATTTATCAGCCTTTAACCCCATCAGTATCGTTTTTACTTTTTCCCTAGTGATAGTTATTCCATTTATTCCATCACCACCTTTTTGATTCTTGAGACTATATCCTAACAAAGGGGATTTCGACAATGGGAAGAGATGACGAGAGAAATGCAGCCACCCTTAATTTCACTGGATACCTTGAAAGGATGAACTGGCATCAGTGACTAAGCTCCACCAACTTGGGTATCAATGGTTGATATTCAGCTGTGTACTTGACATTTATTCAGTTTCTAAACTTACTGAGCAGAGCATGTTTTTTTTTAAGAAAATACATTAATCACCATTGTTTCTGTTAATTTGGGATTTTGAACAATTAGGCAGTTATTAGTTTAACTTTTTGACTTTGAAATAGACAGGTGAAACTCAGAATTGCTCTTTGCTGGTTTTGTTATTACAATAAATTATTTTTAGCATTAGTTCTGCAGTACTTAAAAGCAAAATGGCTAAAATCAACCACTCCTCCACGTATTTTCACCTAATCAAATCAGCATATCTTTCTACTTAGTTCCCTTGTTAATTTAGCTTTACCTTTTACCTTTCTCTTCTCTTAGCCTTCTCTCTATTTGACTTGAGTTACAGACAAAACAGCTGTCAAATTGCTGTGGCATACTGGAATAAATGTTCCAGATCTTGGATGTGATTCTAGGAGATGCTGACAGTGGTTGGATATTGCCAGGAGACAGACACAAAGGAAGCACTGATAATCCTGACTGCTCCTGAGCAACTGCTAACTTGTTCCAAAACAAGAGTTTCTGAAGAGCAACTTGACAGCTCTCTTTTCGGCCACATGATGATGCGTGTGGATAATGGAGGGCTGTGATGAATTTTTCATGATGTGTGTAATGCAGTGTCATTGGTTCAGTTTCGTTTCAGGTGGACAGTATATTATAATCTTTGTCAAAAGCTTGCAATTATAACAGACTAAAATAGCTTACTGAGATTATAAACTAGTGCTTATAATATGTGAGATCCAGTAACCCTCTGTCTCTGTTCTAGGTTCATGAAGTAGAGTTCTATCTGCAGGTGGTTGGCCAAAGGAGAATATTGCTCAACTGTTAAATCAGATCTGTAAGTGCAGCCCGACCATGCTGGAAGAGGATATCGAAGTAGCTATAAAGGTGGTAGTTGTTGGCAATGGAGCTGTTGGTAAATCCAGTATGATTCAGCGGTACTGCAAGGGTATTTTCACCAAGGACTACAAGAAAACCATTGGAGTGGACTTCCTGGAAAGACAAATTCAGTGAGTGGAGACCTGTGCTGTACTGTAAAACGTTTAGGTGTGATTTGTCGTTCCTGAGTCACTCCAGATGTTTGTGATGTTGGGGCTTGGCAATAGAATCATGAGAAGGAAAAATCAATATTAACGATAAACAGAATGCAGGTTCCAAGGCATTCAAAACTCAATGTGCCATTCCATGTCAGTGATGGGTGCTAGCAGCAAAATTCTTGCTTTAGCTGTTCACTTTAATACAGTTCATCATTGCTGTAATTAGTTTACCTTGATTTGATACAATTTTAAAGCACAGGCAGATGCCTGTAGACTATCTTCTTCTTTCCCATAGTCTTGTAGTTTGTTCCACTTTAGGCAGATGTCTAGTTACTTTTTAAAATGTCATTATTGAATCTTTCTGGCATGGCATTTACATTCCTGACCGCTACAACTCAGAGTGAAAATGGTTCCCCCCTTTCCTCTGGCTGTCTTACTAATTACCTTGAACATTTTATCAATGATGTGACTGGTTAAGGTAGTGAACAGCTGGTGAATTAGAGAATTGCTAAATCTCAGCTTTGTTTCTAAATTAACTGGCTTAGGCGCACCCAAATTAGGAAAGAGGAAGGTGGCTGAGTTCTTTCAGATTAATAAGTCATTAGGTCCTGTTGCTGGATGTGGACACAATCCAGTGAGAGCAAGATACCATGACTGTAGAACCACATGCTGCAAGATCAGGTGGATGGTTTTAGTACAGGAGGGAAAAGAAAACGAATATCTATGGAAAGAGTAGAGAAAAATTTCCGGACAGACGTGGGGCAGGGAAATTGAGAAAATCACTCTAGAAAATGTGCAAACCTTTAAAAACCAGAGAAACCACACCAGTTTCTGAAAGTTGGAGTCAGTCAACCAAGTGGGTTTGCTTTCCTTTGAATCCTCAATTTAAATTCATACTAAACGGATGAGTTCCCTCCTTGTGCGTGAGAATCTGACATGTTATTATTTCAGTAAGTCTGTTCTCTGTTTCTGATGGATGTTGCCCCCCAATATAGAAATGGCATCACAGTGGCAAGCAGTTAACATTGTTCGTCCAGGAAATGAGGGTCAGGGAAGGGGAACAAAATTGTCAGGGAAGGATGGATGTGAATGTCAGTGCTTCAGAAGAAGGGACACTGGTTTGCTTGGTATTAAAATGATATATTGGAGCAGAGGGATACTTTACAAGTGTGCATAGCTTGTGATATAACTGACTTAGAAATCCATTTGATTTGTTGCAGGTAACAAAGCTGAAACATCATCTGCCTCAGCAGTGATGTACAATACAGTCCTTTCTGAGCATATAAATCTATGAAACATTACAACTTCCAAATAAATCCATATTTTGACTTATTTTAAAAATTACTTTCTTTCATAATCATTAGAATAGCCTCTAAGGTTTTGGAGTAGATTTGTGGCTCAGGTTGTGGGTGTAGAGGTTGTTGAGGTTGGTTGGCTTGCCAAGCTGGATTCTTGTTTCGCAGACATTTCATTACCATGCTTGGTAACCTCCTCCGTGCAACCTCCAATGAAGCGTCAGTGTGTTTTCCCGCCTGGTTTTTAAACTCTGGTGTCCATTGAGGATTGTGTCACTTCTGGTTTTCCTTCATAGTGGAATGTGTACAGGGTCGAGTTCAACGTGTTTATTAATAGCATGCTTCGTGGAGTGCCATGCTTCTAGGAATTCTCGTGCCTGTCTCTGCCTACCCTGTCCCAGGACCTTGGTGTTGTCCCAGTTGAAGTGGTGGTTCTCCTTGTCCATGTGGATTGAGATGAGTGAGTATTGGTCGTGCCTTTTTGTAGCCAGTTGGTGTTCTTGCACTCTTGTTAATAGTTTCCTTCCTGTTTGTCCGATTATAGTGTTTCTCGCAGTCTCTGCAGGGGATCTTGTAGATGACATTGGCCCTGTCCATGGTGTGGAGTGGATCCTTGGTTTGGGCGAGTTATTCTGGTGAGGGTGTTGTTTATAAGTTTGTGTGTCAAAAAAAAATTCACCAGAGAGGAGGAGAAGAACAAACAGCTCCCATTCCTGGACGTCATGGTAGAGCACAAGACAAATGGGGAACTGCAAATGAAAGTACACCGAAAAGCCACACACACAGACCAGGTACTGAACTTCAACAGCACACACAAACGAAGCTGCGTGCGAACACTATTTAAAGGGGCAACAATACGCTGCAGCAACACGGAACTACGCCAAGAAGAATAATACCTCTTCCAGGTTTTCAAGGATAATTGGGTCAGAAGATGCCTACATGAACAGCATCAGAAAGAGACTACATGCCCTGACATACTCATCACACGACCCTATATCAGAAACACATTGGAACTCACCACAAGACTCCTACGACGCTGGGCATCAGAGTGGCACACAAGCTGATGTCAATCCTACGACAACTGCTCACCCGAACCAAGGACCCACTCCCCGCCATAGACAGGACCGGTGTCATCTACAAGATCCCCTGCAGAGACTGAGAGAAACACTACATCGGACAAACAGGAAGGAAACTAACAACAAGAGTACATGAACACCAACTGACTACAAAAAGGCACGACCAATACTTGCTCATCTCAATCCACGTGGACAAGCAGAACCACCACTTCGACTGGGACAGGCTAGGCAGAGACAGGCATGAGAATTCCTAGAAGCAAGGCACTCCACGAAGCATGCTATTAATAAACACGTTGAACTCAACCCCATATACATTCCACTACGAAGGAAAACCAGATGTGAGGCAATCCATCTCAATGGACCCCAGAGTTTAAAAACCAGGCAGGAAAATACACCGACACTTCATCAGAGGCTGCATCGAGGATGTTACCAAGCATGGTAACAAAACGTCTGCGAAACAAGAATCCAGCTCGGCGAGCCAACCAACCTCAACATTAGAATAGCCAAAAGTACTACTTGTTCTATGAAATATTTTCAAAGCTGTTGTGTGGAGAAAATTGGTCAACAGTTTGTATACAGTAAGATCTCATTGCATTAAATGAAATTATTGACTAGTTTCATTTTTTTTTTGGCTTGGTTTAGGAGAAATACCTACCTAGGGCTCTGAAGAACTCATATCCATTGTGAGCAGTGCCTTTGCAGAATTTAAAACTTGACTTGGGCCTTGGTTTGTTTAATACCTGATCTGAAAGGCAGGTCCTCTGACAGTACAGCAGTCGTTCAGTACTACATCGGCCTAGATGAGGTATTTGAAGTCTGGGATGTGGCTTCGACCCATGACCTGCAAAGTCATGTTTGTAACTGAACCAAGTTGATGAATAGTGAAATGTTCAGTTAGCAATGATTGTGTTACAATTTTCAGTATGTTGTATTGTGGGTGGAAAGTCCCTCACCTGAATTTGTTGGAGGGAGAGTTGAACGATTGTTCACTATGGTTACATTTATACCTCTGCCAGCAGTTGGCAGAGTTTATTTTTACCTACCCTCTGAGTGAAAGGACAATTTGCACAGAGATCTTTAGGAGAGATGCAGTAGAATGGTTGGCGTGAACAAATTGCAGTTCACAAACAATCCTATAATAAAGCATCAGCTACTAATTAAATAGAAATGTTCCACTTGCTGGTAATTACTTTAAGCGTGATTAAGCACAAGAGTTCTCTATGTATTATGTTTTGAAAGCAGCCACTATAACAAGCAAATTGATATCTAATATTGAAGCAAATGATAGAAGACAGTCATAAAATACCAGTCTCTGTATGTGATGTGATAACTGTTCTGGTTGATGCTGAACAGCTGTGGTTCAGCTGTAAACTGGCTGAATGTGGTGAGCTGCCTGTAATTGAGCACAGTTGGACTAAATAAACACTGCATTAAATGTTCCTTATGGACAGCAGTCACAAACTAATTTATGAGTCTCCAACAAACATTATTTGATCTCAGATGTCACATTTATCTTTCAGAGTTAATGGTGAAGACGTCAGATTAATGTTATGGGATACAGCAGGACAAGAGGAGTTTGATGCTATTACAAAAGCCTACTATAGAGGTAATCTAATAAATCTCCAGAGAATACATCTGTAAGAGGATGCTGATTAAAATTCACCACTCGTTTGCCTTCTGATTTAGGTATTCAAACCTGCTACAGAATCCTGGGAAATCCAATTGTTTAGTACAAGAAATGTTTTCTGACTGAATCTTCCCTTTACGTAAATAAAAAGGGGCATTTTATAAATTTGCAACATGAAGTAGCACATTACACATCGCTGGTACAGACAGATTAACAATCTATCATTTTGAGGCTAATAATTAATCTGTTGCACAGTAACTACTGGATGGATTCAGTAACAAGTGCCAAAAAAACACCAAAAGCCATAAAAATAGCAAAGAAATAGCAATCGTCAGTATCTGAAAGCTGTTTCTTATCTAACTTCAGCAAATAGGTGTTTTTAATTCCACTGTCTTGCATTCCTGGCAATTAAAGGTAATACACTTGTTTAGTCTTTTGCTATAGTCTCATGAAATTTGCAGCTGTGATAAATGCTCAGTAAACTCCATTTCTGAGCTGAGATTAATAACTGTTGCACTATGGTTGAGAAAGATTTGCCAGAAAAGTTATTTTGGTGACTCTCTTTCATATCCACTGTTTGGAGTATTTCTTGAAGATAAAAAGAATAGGTTTGTGTATTTTTCATCAAGCATTGTTCTTATTCTGCCCATAAGTGGTGGTTTTGGTATTGAAATGTTCCAGTGCTGGGTATTCTTTAAAATAATATTGTGCATTGCAGTGGCTGTATGTTACAACATAATAAAGCAAAGAACTGCAGATGCTGAAGATCTAAAATAAAGACAGAAGTTATTGGACAAACTCAGCTAGTCTAGCAGCATCAGAGAAAGCGGTGTTAATGTTTTAAGTCCAGTGAAGGTCTTCAAAATGTTAACTGAGCTGGTCTTGCAGCATCTGTGGAAAGAAAGCAGAGTTTCTCCAGCAATTTCTGCTTGTTACAATGTTCAGGAGGAAAGCAATAGTTGCTATTTTAATTTAATCACTCTTGTGCCTTTTTACAGGTGCTCAGGCGTGTGTGCTGGTGTTCTCCACTACTGACAGAGAGTCCTTTGAGGCTATACCAAGCTGGAAAGAGAAGGTTGAGGCTGAAGTTGGAGACATCCCTACAGTCCTGGTACAGAACAAAATAGACCTCCTGGATGAAACTGTACTTAAAAAGTATGTCTATAATAGAAATGTTTAACTTAAGTTGACCGACTTGCTTATATAGTTATATTTCAGAATCCTCAAAAAATATAGAACATCAATTTGCATTTACATAGCACTTTGAATATAAAATGTCCTAAGCCACTTCACAAGATTTGGCACCAAAGCATAAAGCACACCAGAACAGGTGACCAAAAGCTTACCCAAAGTAGTTTTAATGAGCCTTTTTAAGAGATGAGTGTGGTGGAGAGGTTGAGGAAAGAAATCCCAGACCCCAGGAGCAAGATAGCTTGTCAGCACAGGCACTGATGGTGGAGTTGAAGAAAATTTTTAAAATGCAAGAGGCTAAAATTGGAGGAGATGCAATATACGGAATGCCATGAAGGTATTTCTGTAGAGAGAGGAACTTGACACTAGTGGTCTTGGAATGGAAAGAGGCCTTTGAAGGTGAAGGAAAAAGTAAACTTATGTAAGTTGTGATGAAATGTGTCATTTGTACCTAGACAGAGAATTCTGGTCACTCATAGAATATTATTCACCTGTCATGTGGGATTACTTTGAAGGAAGACGGTGAATAGTGGTAATGTCACTGGACTTGAAATCTATGCTAATGCTCTGAGGGCCTGCATTCAAATGCCACCATGACGAATGATGCATGAAACTGTCATCATAATGTAAAAACTAATCTGGTTTAATTAATTCCTTTAGGGGAAGCAAATTTACCATCCTTACCTGGTTTGGTCTACACATACCTGCGGACCCACTGCAATGAAAGCCATTCAGTTCAAGGGCAATCAGCGATGTGCAACAAATGCTGGCCCTAATCCATTACCAGTGGAAGAATAATGGAAAAAATGATTTGGTTTTCAACTGCTTCAGTTAAAAGTTTTAAATGCAGTTTTTAAACAGTCCCTTCTTACAACTTTACTGATATAGGTACAGAAGTTGAAGTTCATGTCAGACACAGATAAGGAGCAAGAGATGACTTGAGAGGTTGAAAAGCTTACTCTGCCATTATGTGAAACCATGGTTGATCTGGTTGTAACTTTTGATCCATATTCCTGCCTAGCCTAGATAACCTTTCATTCTTGCCTACCAAGAATCTATACCTCTGTCTTACAAATGTTCAAAGACTTAATCAAACTCCGACAAATTTGCATGCAATTTTAAAACTGTCAAGACTATCAGGGTAGACAATGAGATTCTTGATTCTGATTTGCAAGTTGTTTTGTTATAGGGGGAATTTTGGATCAGCAAGCAGTGGAAAGTGCTATTTTGAGACACCTGGCATACAGCAAAAAAAAAAATTTAATTTGGCTTTTGTGACATGTTTCATTGTTTGACAGAATTCCATTCTCATTTTATTAAACACATTCAAGGGAGGGATGGCAGTTTCAATGGCAATGAATCAAATCTGAGGAGAGCAGAAGGGATTACTAAATACCTGGGTACCAGCGATTGCCAGGTACATTGTGGAAGACCAGAGGTTCCTATTGAAAAGAATCTTAAGTGAGTTCAACACCTAGCAGGACAGAATTTAAGATGGTAGAGACAAAAAAAAAATTTCAGGCTAACAAAGATCATTTTGATTTAAAATGTAAATAGAATTTGTCCTTTGCTGGAAATGCTAGTGGTGCAGTGTGGAGTGTTATGATCTCTGACACTGCCAGCTTTGTTAATGGCCTGGCTAGAAGTCAATAAGCTCATTGTTTAAAATGGATAAAGTTTGAGATCCTAGGTACATACTAAGAATAAAGCCACTAGATTCCGTGGTTTTGTAGAATCAAAATAAATTTTACCATACAATGTTAGGATATTAAAACAATCGACAATGTATATGACTATTCTGAAAGAGTAATATCAGATTTGGAACCACTAACTGTTTTTATCCACACAGATATTGCCAGATCTGCTGAGTTTTTCCAGCAGAGATAGTAGGAACTGCAGATGCTGGAGAATCTGAGATAACAAAGTGTAGAGCTGGATGAACACAGCAGGAGCAGGAAGGCTTTTCTTTCAGATTTCCAACATCAACACTATTTTACTTTCAATACAATATAAATCAGTTATAATCTCTCTTCCAGAATAAACTTGAGGTAAATATGGGCAACAGACAAACTGTGTTCAGCGACCCCTCAAACAGAAAATGCAGTCAAATCAGACACCACAAATCTCTCAGCAGACCTTCATAAGATTGTGGCTCTCAAAATCTTATTAAACTTTTACAAGGGATTCTAATTCTTCAACTTCAAAGATCTGGCTTTAAATCTCCCTCAAAAGTTGCTCCATCATGGACTGCTTCAATGACTGGTCACATTCTATCCTGTCCTGAGACTGCACAACCGTGTGCTCTTGAGACTACCCTGTAACACCACCTCACGTGGACAGTACAAGCTTTTCCACAGTCATCTAACTTCACTAAGCTGGTACTGCCAGTGTTTCTCAGTAGGGCCAAGCTCCCGATCTTGGCTCCAGAATTATTGATGGCTCACAGGTTTCTTCCAAGCCCCCACAGCTTTAAGACAGCTCCTGGGGAATGTCCTGAGCCCTAACTCCAACACTATACTGCATCTGTTGGCTTCCAGGAGAGAATGGGACCTGCTACTTTAGCACCCTCTTCACTCATTCAAGACTCTTTTCTCCCTGCTGCTGACCACTTTACTCTCAACCCTGTTATGTGGCTTGAAAAGCTTAGCAGGTCTAGCAGCATCTGTGAAGGAAAAAACAGTTAACGTTTCAGGTCCGGTGACACTTCCAACCTGAAACGTTAACTCTGTTTTTTCCTTCACAGATACTGCCAGACCTGCTGAGCTTTTCCAGCTACATTGTTTTTGTTCCTGATTTACAGCATCCGCAGTTCTTTTGGTTTTTTTTTATTTTATGTTATGTGGCTTATCTTTTATAATTTTCATGGGTCTCATGGTCTGGTTCTTGCATCAGTGTGAGTCCTGCAGTCACTTTTTGTGAATCCAGCAACCCTACAGTCATAGTTCTGATGACTGGGTTGCCTAATTGCCCATAGTGTCCAGGGATGTGCAGGCTAGCTGGATTAGCCATGGGAAACATAGGCTACTAACATGGGAGCAAGAATAGATCATTCAGCCTCTTGAATCTGTTCCATTGTTCAGTGAGAACATGGCTGTTCCTGTGTGTATACTGTTTCTGTAACTCTTCTCATCTAAAAGAAATCTATCTACCTCAGCTTTATAATATTCAATTGATCCCCAATATCAACTGCATGTTGGCGTGGTGGTGGAAAAAAGAGTTCAGATTTCCACCAGCCTTTGTATGAGCAGTGTGCATTGACATCAGCAACCTGTGCAGCACAAAGGATGCAGAGGAAGAAGGTTTGCTTTTGTTGACAAATAAATTTACAGAACTACTGTAAGATATTATGCATGAATGTAGGACTGTGATAACTGATACTCTAAGGTGCTAAGGTGTTTCTTTGCAAAGAACAATGCTAAACTTTGTATTTTCTTTGGTTTTGAAATATAGCGAAGAAGCAGAAGCTCTAGCTAAAAAGCTGAAGCTTCGGTTTTATCGAGCTTCTGTGAAGGAGGATCTCAATGTCAATGAAGGTGAGCCGACTGAGTGGATCTTGCCTGTCTGATTTTGTATTTTGTTCGTAACTTTATCAATAATAATTCTTTGTAATTAAAGCTAATAGCCTTGGTGATTATTGAAGTTCTGCAGCAATTTGACTGTGCTAAAGATTCTGTCACATTAAAAACCAAAGATTCTCATCTCCATTTCTAATTGTTGTGTTCCCATCCTTGCACAGGTTGTTGCCCCCACCTCGCGGCACTCCCACACCTCTGTTTCTGTCTCCCCGCACCCCACCCTGTGACCTCTTTCAGACGTAAATTTCTCTGAAAACTGTTGCTCCATTTATGGCCTCCCTCCATGCTTTCAATTTAGACCCTACATTCAGGAATTCTGCATTTTGTCAGAATTTCCTTCTATATCAGATCTACAGGTTTAAGTCAACGATTTCTTTCAATTGCTGGTCTTAAAGTTTTGTAGCCTCTTCCTTGATTAGTCGCATAACTGACCTCACACTTTCTCAATTTCGAATAACCGCTTCAAGCAAACATTTCTGCTTTGGAACTTTCAAGCTAACACCCTTGTACTGAGAGAACCTATTTCCAGTAGTTGTAAACTATCTCTTACCTTCAGGAGAAACTGAATCACACATCTAACTTCAGTCAAGATCTCTGCGAGTTGTAAAACAAAAATATCATAAGCTAAGCAGAAGAAAATCTGATCCTTCTCAATGGAAAGCAAGCTAATACTCCATTGTCTGCTCATAACTGTTCAAATGCTAACAAATTCCCATCATTACCCCAATGAATCCCTTTCTCATACCAGTTTAAAAAGAGTCACAGGTCAAATGACAAGTTAATTATTGAACCCCTGAAACACTGACCAAAATGTACTCGCCACTAATTCAAAATCCAAACATCTAAATATATAATATTTAAGTTTATACAAATCTTACCTTGTATCACAGTACCTTCCAACATATGACTGCAAACAACTCAACTGCAATAAATGTGAATGGTTTACATATGTTTTGAGTCTGCCACACAAAAATATCTACAATCAAAGGATAGAATGAGTGACCATTTTTCAAATGTGCCACTTCGCTAAACAGAGGACATTAATTCTTTATCATGTTGGTTTCAGGTTGTGTATGTGCTCAGCTCTGTAATGGAAGGTTCACCCATCCCACTGGTTGTATATTTATGTTCTTCGACTTGTCTTTTAAAATAACTTATTTATTTCCTTACTTTCTCACAAAAAGGCCTGGATAGTTATTTACAAGTTAGTAGATTGCATTGTTTCGATACATTTGCAAGAACTGTGTGCAATTTTGAGATAGTTCGAGTCATAGAGTCATACAGCGTGGAAATAGACCCTTCTGTCCAACCAGTCCATTCCTAACATAATCCCAAACTAAACTAGTCTCACCTGCCTGCTCCTGGCCCAAATTCCTCCAAACCTTTCCTATTCATGTACTTATCCAAATGTCTTTTAAACATTGTAATTATTCCCGCATCCTCCACTTCTAGAACTTCATTTCACATGTGAACCACCCTCTGTAAATAAAAAACAAAAAATTGCCCCTTGTCTTTTTTTAATTCTCTTTCCCCTCACCTTAAAAATGTGCCCCCTAGCCTTGAAATCCCTCATCCTAGGGAAAAGACAACTACCATTCACTTTATCTGTACCCCACATTATCTTATAAACTTTTGTAAGGTCATCTCTCAATTCCTATGCTCCAGTGGAAAATTGTCCCAGCCTATCCAGCCTTTCTTTATAACTCAAACCTTCCATACTTGGCAACCTCCTGGTAAATCTCTTCAGAACCCTCTCCAGCTTAATAATTTCCTTCTTATAACCGAGCAACCAGAACTGGACAGAGTATTCCTGAAGAGGCCTTACGAATGTCTTGTGCAACCTCAACATGACTTCCCAACTCCTATACTCAAAGGACTGAGCAATGAGGACAAGCATGCCAAACACCTTTTTAACCATCCGTTCTTTATGTGACACAAACTTCAAAGAATTATGTACCTGAACCCCTAGGTCCTTCTACAACACCACCCAAGGCCCTACCATTAATTGCATAAGCCCCATTGTTGTTTGTACCTTGCATTTATCCAGATTGCACTCCATCTGCCATTTCTTAAGCCGTTGACCCATTTCATCAAGATCTCTTTGTCATCTTAGTACATAGTGAAGAAGTTGTTCTATGCCACCAATTTTGATGTCATCCGCAAACACATTAACCATGCCTTCTCTCTTCTCATCCAAATCATTAATATAAATGACAAACAAAAGGGAATCCAGAACCGATCCCTGTGGAACACCGCTGGTGACAGACCTTCAGTCCAAAAAGCAACCCTCCACCACCACTCTGTCTCTTGCCATTAAGCCAATTATGTGTCTAATTGGCAAGCTCACCCTAAATCCCATGTGACCTAACTTTACTAATTTGTCTACCATTGTTTGAACTATAGGCTGATGCCGTACATCTCTTCATTCAGAAGAAAATTGCCCAATGCCACATGTTAAATGTGGAAGCTTGTGTTTAAATCAGTGGTTCAAATTTTGTGCAACGTGTGCTGTTTAAAGCAAGGAAAACCATGTTTGTCTTTATCATGATTATGACAAAAATATTTAGTTCTCCTATTTGCTATGTATTGGTCAGTTTGATGAGTGTCCAATATTAATTTAATCTCTTGAGGAATGTGATTAGTAACAATTACAGTTTGAGACATTAAGACAACTTCTCACTTTACCACCAGAGCTCATCAGTGATAGAATATTGAATGTGACCAGGCAACCTATAACTGTATCTTGTTTTGTGCAAAGCACTGATGACATTTCTGACATGCCACCAGGCCTGCAGTATTTAGCTAGAAAACTGTTACTTATTTAATGAGTTTTTTTATTCATTAACGGGATGAGGGCATCGCTGACCAAGCAGCATTTATTGCTCATCCCTAATTGCCCAGAGGGCAGCTCAGAGTCAACCACATTGCTGTGGGTCTGGAGTCACATGTAGGCCAAACCAGGTAAGGATAGCAGTTTCCTTCCCTAAAGGACACTAGTGAACCAGATGGGTTTTTCTGATAATCGACAATGGATTCATGGTCATCACCAGATTCTTAATTCCAGATATTTTATTGAATTCAAATTCCACCATCTGCCATGGCAGGATTCAAACCCACGTCCCCAGAACATTATCTGGGTCTCTGGATTAACGGTCCAGCGATAATACCACTAGGCCATCGCCTCCCCCTTGAGGGTCTTCATTTCCATGAATTTATCACCTTGATTAAAATTATGTTGGGAACCTTCTCATTGCATGTTGTTTTACACAATGCTTGGCAGCATAAAATCATACAGCACGAAAACAGGCCATTTGGTCTATTGGACCTGTGCGCCTCTGCATAAAAATTACTCTGTCCCATTTTCTGCTCCTTGTCTGTTAGCCTGCAAATATCTCTTATTTTTATTTCACGGTATTCATCGTGGTTGTTACAGTTTTGTTTTTGAGTGGACAGTGTGTGGCAGCTTATTTACTGATTTGTTTATAGAGATTTGTTGAATATTTCATGAGGGCTACATGGTGGTTTTGGGCATCAGTGGTCTAAGTCACAATTACTGGATTATTCACCTGGAAAATCCAAGACAAGGCAGTACCAAGCCTGATTTATATCTGCTCCAGAGTTGAACAGCGACTGGGGACCTGTGACTTAAGTGAAGATTCTTATCCAGTTTTCAAATATGTTTTCTAAGACAATTGCTAAAATCACAACCTAATTGATCAGCTGTGTCATTAACAGAGCATAAGGGAAGGATTTTAGAGGAACAGGTAGTTCTGCTATAATGCGTGTTTCATTAATACAAATTGGCTATAACGTGATTGAATAGTGGGTGCTGTTTGGATAACACAAACATTTTGCTGTACAAGTATAGCGATGTCCCTATAACATGGTTTTCTATAGCACAAGGTCACACAAGAACACAACTATCGCGTTATGGGAGAACTATCTATAGTGGGATCAATGGCGTGACCCCCTTTGTAATCTGTATGTATCCCACATCTTGTTTTATTGCCATTCATTGAGAGTAAGTATCTTTCAGTGTGAAAAGATTTGTTTAAATGTATTGAAATCTATTGAATTCACGTGTTCTTGAAACTACTTACGTTTTAAGTTTGTTGAAACAGATTTTGTTTCAATATCATTTGAAGTGCTTTCACTGTCACAATAGACACTGTATTCAATAGTGACTTGAGAAAATGTACACGATGGTGGGAAGATCGAAGTTCAAGTTATTTTGTGTCCACAGTTTTTAAGTATCTGGCTGAGAAGTATCTTCAGCGACTCAAACAACATACCACTGAAGAACAGGAACAAGTACATGTGACAAGCAATCGCATAGGTAATTTGTACCTCTTTAACCCATATAGAAATTCCTGAGTTGATTGTATAAAACCTGAAGGCCTTGAGTGCCTTGTCCGCCTGAGCTGTCAAAAGGCTTCAGAGTTGAAAAGGGACCAGATGCTACAGTAGATGAGACGAAAGCATTTTATGTAGAACTTCAACTCAAGTCAGGGATGCAAGTCTGCTTTAAATGTTGATTGTCAGGGTTATATACAAAACAACCTAGTTTCTTGTGGCAGTCTCCTATGATGAAGATTGTACCCCGGGAAATAGCTAACCCACATCTTCCTCTCCCTCCGCCCTCTCCTGCATCATGGCATGTTGTTGATCTTTGGCCTATTCGGTGGCTTGCTTGTCTCCTCTCCTTTTGATTCCCTTATCCTGTACAAATCTCTGTAACTCCCCTCGACTGTTTCTCTGGGAACAATCCCCACCTCTTCAGTTTGTGGCATATTGTTCACTATCAGATGTGAGTGTTTACCTCAAGTGATAGCTAATGCAAATCATCCTACCACCTTTTTAGATGCTCAGCAATGGAATACCTTTGAAGTGTAATCACTGATGTGACGTGAGAAACATGTGAGCCAATTTGCTCACAGTAAGATTCTGTATACACCAATGCTGTAGTTATCAGATAATCTGTATTTTAGGAATGGAGATTGAAAAATATATATTGTTCCGATCATAAATGTTAAAATAGTTTAAGGGGGCTTTTTACAGCTACCTCAGACAGCAGCTGCGGCCTCAGATTATGTCTTGTCTGAAGGATGACACCCTGAACGCTGTAGCATTCCCTCAGTGCTGCACACAGAGTGACAGCCTAAGTTTTTGAATTCAAAATTTAGGATATCTGGTCAGCATAGGCAAGTTGGACTGAAGGTTCTGTTCCCATGCTGTACATCTTTAAGTCTCTGGAATGGGTCCTATAACCTTGTGACTCAAAGGTCAGAGTGCCATTGACTGCACTCTGGCTGACAGTACCAATCTTCTCCCCTCTATAGCCAAGTTCACCAATTTTGTACTATCTCCAAGATTTCTCGATTTTAACTCTGAGAAAGAAGAATAATTGTCCTATGCTCTTACAAATCGATGCAAGAGGGCAGAAGGGGAGCGTTCGCTGATTTTCTTTGTCTGAGTGTGACCAGTTTATTGCATTGCACAGTTAACACGGTGGAGACAGCTATCTGGATGTGTCCCTATTCTGCCTCAAGGGAATATCCTAGATGAATTCTTGGATTAATGTCTCATGTGAAAGACAAGACTTTAGTTCAATGCTGTCACCCTGCCGCACTGGATTTTCAGCCTAGATTATTCTATCTCCCCTCAGGTGAGGTTGAATCCTATGATCTGACTCTGAGGTAAGAGTGCTACCCAATGAAACCCTGGTAGTGATAGACCTTGCGGCAGCAGAAGCTGTCCTATCTGAGCGATGTATCACTTGGCAAGTAGTCACTGAAAACACGTGGTTTGGGCTGTATGCCACAGTTCGTCCAAACCAGTGGTATCCATTTCCTGCCATGCAGAAATCTTCTGAAAACTAGCTGCAATGACAGGGACGCACAGGGCCAGTAGTCCCCTTCAGACTTTCTGACAGATTCAGTATTGCTAATACTACCAGGAGATGCTAGACCTCTTCTCTGGCATATCCTGCAGCAGCAATTGTCTGACAAAGCCGTGGAATGGGAGCAAATTAGCATCCCATTACCAAACCAGAGAGATCCCTTTTGTGGGGATGCGAGACCTTGAATGTACTGAATTTGAACTGCCGGTTATTTTCTAATAATTTATGGGATGTGACCATTGCTATAACCCATCCCTCTTGTTCAACAAAACGCCATCTGGTTTCTCCTGGGAAGATGACACATTTTTTGTGTTGATGGGTAAGTTGCGTAGATTATTTGATGAGAATCAATTTGGGGCTAAAGATAAATTTTACTGCAAGACTGTGTATGTACAGTTATAGATTCGATTTGAAACAAGTGGGATAATAAGAACTGCCATGCAGTGCTGTTAACTGTAACTGCAACTTAACATGTAATCAATGATGTTCCCCTCTTCTCCCAGGAGTATTTAACACGGCTGGCGGCAGTCACTCTGGCCAGAATTCCAACATGGTAAATGGTGGAGCAGTTATCAGCCTTCGGCCGAACAAGCAGAGGACCAAGAAGAGCAGAGGCCTTGGAGCCCGCTGTGGAAAGCTCTAGTGGTCTCATTGCAGCATGGCAGCAATGTGTGCTGTCTGTACAACTGTTGAGATCAGTAAGGGTTTTTAATTTGGACATTCTGACACTCCTGAGGTAGATTATAATTAAAGACACTACAGTACTTGGCTACCCACAGCTAAAATAGTACAGAGGCTTTGGAAAGCACATCACTCAACCCAAAATTGGTTGAAAGTTGTGGTAGTTTAAAAGTGGAACGATGCCTGTCTATACATGATTCAGATGACCACCAACTTGCCTGATTTACTGCAGCTTTGCATGGATCGGATTGAAGATGTTAGATTTGTTTGCAGGTTATTCACGTTTTATTCTGAAAATCAATGTGCTCAAGTTGTGCAGCATTTCTGCATCCAGCCAGATCTACCGTATTACCTAAAAGGAAAGCAGTCATGAATGCAGTGTGATTTAATCCAAGAGAGCACTTCCTTCAAGTGAAAAAGCCCAGTTACCAGGACCGAGAACCACCAGATCGAGCTTAAAATACTTTCCTTCAAGAGAATTTACTAAAACACTTCTTTTAAAAAAGAAAAACGTTGTATTGAATTATGAAATTCTATTGTCATTTGAACAGATATTACAAAAACATTGCCATTTGTGGTTGTTAATTGATGGAACTAACTTCAATGACCTGTGCAATATTTCAGTGTTGGATACAGCTGAAGATATTTTATCACTAGGAGTTTGTTTTTTTCGATGGTTTGAGTTGATTGTACTGTTTAGATGTGTTTTAAAACGATTCACATTTGGTATTTTAATGTTTGTAATCATACAATCACTGTTTGTATGCTAGAGACATTTTTTATGGAACATTTTGTAATCATGCCTGTCGATTGCTTGCATGTAAGCTTTGAATAATTGTCTTCACAGGCCTTTTATTATTCAGATTGACATTTGCATGAGTGCCAAATCAGTACCACAACTATATTGCCTTTGTCTTTCATTGTTTCTGACAAGAATATAAGAAACCCCTACTAGGATTCTGAATGTAAAGGTAAGTAGAACCTACTGCAAGAGTCTGTATATCTGGAGTTGCTTTACCCAATAACACTACTTTCATGCCATACTACGTGTCTAGAGATCGCAAGCTCCTGACTGCATGATTTATATTTTTATTTTATGTGGATTAAAACTTGCAGTACGGCTTGCCTGAGCTTTCTATTGTATACAGTTACTACTGCCCATCTCTGACAAGTAACAGCACCCAGCTGATGAGTTACCCAGACATTGATGCAAGGTTTTGTGAATTATGATGTAATCTCCATTTTTATAACAAGCTAAGTCTAATTGCAAAAGTATAGACTTGGTGAGCAGGAATAGATGAGCTGGTCCATCAAGCCTGCCCCCCCTCTCTCACGATAGTCACGTCTTCTTGATTGAACACTACTTTTCTCACAACTCTCCCCTCTGACATCTAATCACCTGGACAGTTATTCCTGAAAAAATATTCTTGGAAAATTCCTCTTCACTTCCTTCAAGCAATCAAAACTAGTTTGGGTAACGAGCTGGACCAGTTGTTTCAGATTTTTAAATCTGCTTATTTAAGGCCCTGCCAGGAGGGACACCTCGAATAAAATATCTTACTCTGAGGTGATGTCAGGAGAATAAGATTGACTGACTGTGCTCTCACTTTGTGGCACTACAGAGGTGTTTCACAGTGTGTTTCTGTTTTGCTTCTAGCCAGAATTGTTCTATGTTAATATAGCTGAAATAAAAGACATCAATAAATTATTCGGCTATTCACGCAGTACTGACAGGTTAAACCTTTAAAATAAGTCAAACTAAAATGCAATCTTAGGTTGCTACAGGCACTGACTAACTGGTCATCCATGCTCTTCTATTCTTGCTGTTTGCAATAAATAACATTTCCAATTTAAAGTAAGTAGAATTTGTTAAGAGATTTGCGGTATACTAGCATTCACCAAAGAAATGTGCATTGGAAGGCTTTTTGTCCCCTATGTTCAGATGGTTAAATATAAAACACTTAGCTGCCATTTTCTTCTAAAGAATTTTAGGGCATAGAAACACCATTCAGACCAACCAATCCTTGCTAGTGTTCATGTTACAAACAACCATGAACATTGCAAGAAATACCATTCACTACTGAATTTAGGTTTTCTAATAGATTTTTATGATCAGAAAGGTATTTTGTGTGCATGGATGTATATATAAAAATGTCAGCTGAGGTTTGATGTAATTTGTTTCAAAGCCAGTCTTATGCAGTGGTCCACAGTGTGGGTTTTTTTTTTTTGCAGTTTTGAAATTCTTAGCTGTGCTTCTGGTTTACGCGAGTGTCACTTTCATACAGTTGCTGAAGGACCAATGGCGCATGCAAGCGAGGAGAAGGGGCAAAGTGCAAATGCTGGGGATATGAAATGAAATGCGCACAAAGTTGTTAAATGTTAGCCCTGCCAATGAGCTGTGACTGAATGAATATTTACGTTTTGAAAATTGTTGCTTGAAAGTGAAGGGTTGAGATTTGATCCATTTGGTTAAGTAATCCAATCTGTGAAGTTTAGACAAAGCTTTTTTTGTGTTGAGATGCCCAAGATATTTTTTTGTTTGGTTTTATGAGGGCTGACTTCTCAATATACATTCTCTGGTGTATATGGCCTTGCAGGAAAATTTAAGAGTAAAGCCTGAGTATGCCCACGATCTCCCAACAACAGGCACCATGCTTGGGAGAGTACATCAAGAATATCAGCCCTTGTTTCTGTTGTGATGCTGAGACATTTTGTACAATTTGTTTACTGTTGCATATCATTAGAGGATGTAGTTTTATTGGTGCCACAGCTGTGCCTTCCAGTTAGCTAAACATATGATGTTACAGCACTGGAAGCCATTCAGCCTATTGTGCCTGTGCCAACTCTTTCAGTGAGTTACCTATTAATCCAGTCACCTGTGAACCATTCCCTTGATCTGTGCCCCTTTTCAAATTGCATGATACAAAAATTGCTGGCACAGGGCCTACCCACTAGTGATCCACTCATGTAAACCCACATGCATGTAGTTGAGTCACAGCGCTGCCTGACAGGAGATCTGTGCATTTCCTGACTGATCAGTCTGAATGCAGTGACATACAGAGATTGAATTTTGGAGCATCTACAGAATAGGTGAATTCCAACCAGCTGCCTAGTTCTGTTGTACCTCTGTAACATCAAAGTCTCAGTTGTACCTTGTGACATCACAAGGTCTCAGCCTTACTAATCACCCTTATCCCAACAGTGTGGCAAACAGTGGCTTGGTGTTCAGATGGGTGGAATGTGGTACAGTTGGGCAGGGATAAAACCCTGCATACAACTTGTTTGTATTTGATTGTAGAGATTTATTACTTTGATTTCTAGGCATCTGTGTTTTTTGTATGTTTATTAACATATTCTCATTTCCGCATTCTAAATCATTTCTGAAGTGCTTTGTTTTCTCAATTGAGCCTTTCATCCTGCCATCTTTGGTCTTAAAATGCCTGTGAAGTCAAAAACCTAGGAGTAGATCACCACTAGGGCCAGTTGCTGGTTAGCATCGAGAGTTGAAGTATATACAAGATATAGTGAGTTCTGTTACCAGCTTCTATTCTCAGCCAGAAATACTTGTTTGAGTTTGTCAGTGTGCAAGTATTATAATTAGATAGGTCAGGTGTCAACGGTCAGAGGTGTTGTATACATCTGGCACTTGCTGTCTTATTAGTCATCATTCATTTTTAGTGATTTTTGTGATGCATTGCTTGTTATTTTAGCTATGATGTGGAGGTGCTGGTGTTGGACTGGGGTGGACAAAGGAAGAAGTCACACAACACCAGGTTCATAATCCAACAGGTTTATTTTGAAATCACAAGCTTTCGGAGCATAACCCATTCACTTTATGAAGGGGCTGTGCTCCGAAAGCTTGTGCTTTCAAATAAACCAGTTGGATCATAACCTGGTGTCATGTGACTTCTGACTTTATTGTTTTAGGTCACATGTCAGCCATGGCTCAGTGGGTACCGCACCCTTCTCTGAAACACAAGGCTCCAAGTTCAAGTCATGCTCAATGACTTAGCACAAAAATCAAGGCTGAGACTCCAGTACAGTACTGAGAGAGGACTGTGCTGTCAGATGCCATCTTTCAGATGAGATCTTCAACCCAGGTATCAATGCTTGGGTGATTTACTATAGTGCTATTTTGAGGAAGAGCAGGGGAGTTATTCCTGTGTTCTGGCCAACTTTCAACATACTAAAATGCAGCTTTTGTATCTATTTCTCCTTGCTCTTGCAACATTTTACTATATTAAAGTCCTATACAAATGCACATTGTTGCTGTTGCTGCTACCCCAAAAGGATACATCAAACCTAAGAAATTAGTGTGAAGAGATTTTTTAAAAATTCATTCACGGGATGAGGGCATTGCTGGCTAATTGCCCAGAGGGCAGTTAAGAGTCAACCACATTGCTGTGGGTCTGGGGTTACATGTAGGCCAGACCAGGTAAGGATGACAGTTTCCTTCCCTAAAGGACATTAGTGAACCAGATGGATTTTTCCAAACAATCGACAATGGATTCACAGTCATCATTAGACTCTTGATTCCAGATATTTATTGAATTCAAATTCCACCATCTGCCATGGTGAGATTCGAACCTGGGTCCCCAAAACATTATCTGGGTCTCTGGATTAACAATCCAGCAATAATACCATTAGGCCATTGCCTCTCCTTTTGGGAGATTGTTTCACAGGGAGAGATTAAAGGCATGCTGACCCCTATTTTGTTCATTACCATCTCTTCTCTCCTCTCACTCTCTCATCTGCTCTTGCCGCCTCCTCACTGTCTCATCTCCTCTCACTGTCTTGTGTTCTTTCTTCTCTCCTCACCTTGCCCCCCAATCACCCCCTGTGAATTCAGCTTAGAATGATTCATTCAGCCCATCATGAAAAACTATCCAATTAGTCCCATTCCATAATCTCCTATTAGTTCTGCAATATTTTTGAGCATTTATGCAACTCCCATTTGAGTTATTGAATTGACTTCCCCTCCACTTTGACATTTCCAGATTATCATTAAGACTCAAATATTTTTAAATTCTTTCACCTTTGGTCTTCTATCAAAGAGATTAGATCTGTCTCTTCTGGTTGCTAACACTTTTTTCCTTGAACACCTTTTAAAAATTAATTCATGGGATATGGCTGTCACTAGCTGGACTGGCATTTATTGCCTGTCCCTAGTTGCCCTTGAGATGGTGGTGATCTGCATTCTTGAACTTCTACAGTCCATCTACTGTGGGTAGACTCTCAATGCTGTTAGAAAAGGGTGTTCCAGCATTCTGACCCCACGATAAATTTGCAAGTCTGGATTGTGAGTGGGCTTGGTGGGGTACTTGCAGATGGTGTTCTTAAATATTTGCTGCCCTTGTCCTTCTAGGTGATAGTGGTCAGAGGTTTGGAAGATGCTGTGTAAGAATCTTTGGTAAATTTCAGTATTACATCTTGTAAATGATACACATTGCTACTGAACGTAAGTGGTGGATGTTTGTGGATCTGGTGCCAATCAAGTGGGTTGTTTTGACCGAGATAGTTTTAAGTTTCTGTAGCGTTGTTGCAGTTGCACTATCAGGCAACACTATCCAACACGCTCCTGACTTGCCTTATAGATGGTTGCACAAGTTCTCATTTTCTCTTTGTCTCATCAAAACTGTCAAAGATATTATTATCTTCTCATATCCTGCTCTGCTATATAAAGTAATAGAAATGGGGAGGGGATGGGTGGACACAGACATTCAGTTCATTGCAGAACATAAAAACAATTTACCTGGCCTTTGTTTATATTCTATATGAACCTTCTCTCACACTCTCAATATACTTTTTATTCCTTTTCTCCTTTGTTTATCCAGCTTTCCCATGATGGTGTATGTTGTAGACTTTATCTACTACCTGTGTGGTAATGAGAACCACATTGGCACGGTTCTCCAGGTGAAGATGTTCCTCCTGAATTTCTTTATTGCATTTGTTAGTGACAGATTTAGTCTCTTACCCCTTCAATCCAAGCCCCTACTCGCGCCTACATCTACGTGATTAAAATTACTTCTTAATCTCAGACCCTTTGTGTCTTCCTCAGTAAAGGGCAAACAGAGATCCTTTCTCAGGAATGTAAAGAAAACGCTGACCTGTTAACTTAGTGGGTTGATCAAAATGCCAAGGGAAGTAATGACCAAGGTCCAGTGTTTGGCACCTGTTAGGACAAAACAATTAAAAGGATCAGAAGTGGAAAAATTATAGTTAATCAACCTCTGTCCAATTTCTCTTTTTATAATTCTGCTGAAGTTGAAATCACTGAGCTGTGCATAGTGGCAGCTGATCCTGGCATGTTTCTGGTTGGTATGAGAGTTGCTGCTTTGCTTGTTGAGTTATTGTGGAGCCACTTGAGCTCTCAACAGGGGGAATCCAGAAAGTCAGAAGAAGTACACCATTCCTATCAAGATCTGCTTCACCAGAAAATGCTGTGTTAGCACCACAGCAGTGATTTTCTGGTGTCAGGTTCCCAGCAAGGAGCATCCCTATTGAAAGTCGCTGTTGAACTTGTAAGAAAATTCTGATTTTTGTAGTGATTTCAATTAATGGCCAATAGCACCAATGGTGCTTCGTAATTTTCAGCATGCAAATTGGAAACAAGACATTCCATTCCTGAAATACTCTGCCAGTTTTACTCTTGCTAAAAGCATCAAAATGGCATTTAATTCCGGTTTTAAAATACTGCTTTCAGGCAGAATATTTTGCAAAACTGGGAGATTTTCATAAATATGTATACAATCTCGTTTAATTAAATTAATGGAACAGAATTGCTGCTGTATAGGTTTTGCTAACTAACCCAATTCTAAAAGCACTGTGTATTGCCTTAATTTAAATTTTCTGAAGGTATAGACAGACTCCATTGTTTTGCTATAGGATCCAAGTCCAGTTATATTCTGCTTTTGGAAGGGGAGAACTTCAATAGGGTTTTCATAATGAGTTGCTCCATCTGCAATGGAAACAATTCACTTTGGCAACAGGAGTATACTGATGTGATTATTTAAACATGCATGGATTGACTTTATCAGTTTCCTGTGAGATGCATATTGATATCCCATAATATATCAGTCATTGCAAATTGGTTATTGGGTTTATTCTTTCAGGTGTGTAATCTGTTAGTTTTGTGGTATGGTGATTAATTTAATAAATGTTTGTTATTCTTTTGCTCCAACTGCTGATATGCATGTAAAACTCTGTTACATAGTGCCATACTAAAATTAATCACCCTACAATTTTGGCAGTTTTTTTATTATATCTGCATAACAATATTAATAAAAAGAAAATGTAATTAAACTCTGACTTTTGAATTCTTTGTGTCTACCAAACAGATTCAATCACTTGGTACCTAGGTGAACTCTCTGAATAGTAACACAAAGCCTTTTGCTTCTTAATAGTGAGAAGTATCTCTCATCACGTCTTTTGAGTTGTTTAGTCTATTTATAAGTAACATTGACCCACCCTAAGCTTCTTGAGGATCAAATTCTGTGTATGTTGCTATGAACCATGACTAAAGATGTTCACCAATTACTCCTAAAACCATGTCTATTCTATTTTCCTGTTTCATCTGCATGTTTTATAGAGCTTAGCTGCCAATTAGAAGCTGTTGTTCTTGCGGTGCAAGTGGGAGAGTACAGAATCTTGTAGAAACTCACTTGTTTTTTCTGCCTTTCATTGAATCACTGAAGGAAAGAGAGTTGTAGTGGCCAGTGTGGACGGGGAAAATGCCCTAACAGACTTGTCAACCTAAATAAGAAATCAATGCTATCTTTCGTCAGAGCTGACATTTGGCCTGTTGTCCAAACAATGGCAACTCCAGCGCTGGGTGACCTATTTGAAGCCATTTTTCAACTCATTGGATTGTGGTGTTTGGATTCATTGGTCAAATATCCTCCTGTGTGCCACATATATAACTCTGATCATTTTTACTTCTACCACCCTCACTGCATGCAGTGTTCTACTCGTGACCTAACTAATTTTATAAAGGTTTAGCACAATTTCACTGCTTTATAACTAAGTATCACTCTTTATGAAGCCTAAGATCCCATATGCTTTGCTCTCTGTCATAGCTACAGATATTTGAATGCAGCAATGAACCCCAAGGCACTCTTATTGGGTGCCATTTTACATTAAGGACGTGAACACAGCAGACAGAGTGCAGAATTGATTTATAAGAACGATTCCAAGGATGAGGAACTTCAATTATGATGACAGATTGAAAACAGTGGGACTGTGTGGAGTTTGGGAAACACTTTACGTCAGGGAGTGGTTGAGTCAAGTGATGAAAATTTAACCTAAGAGATAAGTACGTGACAAAGAAAGAATAAAAGGATGTCTTAAAGTTAGATGGAGATCTGATTCAAGTATTCAAAATCATGAAGGGTCTGATCAATGGACATATATGCAAGGCTGAGTTAATTTTTGATTGACGAGAGTCAAAAGCTGTGGGGTGAGGAGGGCAGTGCAATCATGAAAGTGGAGTTAAGGCCAAATGAGGTCACTCATACTGAAAACAGGAAGTGCTAGAGAAACTCAGCTCTGTCTGTACCTCTGGGGAGAGAAAGAGGCAATGCTTTGAGTCCAAAACGTTTCTCTTCTGAAGAATCATTGGATTTTAGTTTGGAGCTCCGGCATATGCAGTATATTGCTTTTATTATCAAATTAGTCATATTTTTAGCAAATGACAAAGCAGGTTTAACAGGTCGAATGGCCTACGCTTGCTCCCAAATCTTTTGCTCTTGTGTTCTATGCTCTGGCATCCCATACAATGACGCCAAATGCAACTTGTCGCACTACTGTCAACAATTGCCAACCATTCGTTTTCTCTAATCATTGTCTCCAGTAGGGAGACACAATTGTTGTAAACATGAACAAAGCTTGAAGTTAGAATTAATAACATGATTAAGTGACCTGAGTTGGGAAATTATTCTTTAGTTGAACCCTCATCAAGACACCAAACTTCTGAGTGTTGTTATTATATTAGCAGTTCAGCTGTGACATTAGTTTGCATGCTATTTGTCAATTCATGTTGCAGTTTATTCAGAGATATCAATTTTTTTTCATCTTAATATATTTTATTCAAGGAAATGCACATCATATCTGCAAGTACAGAGCTCATTTTCATTTGGATCTGCAGATATCTAGAGCTGAAAATGTCAGAAATGAAGAACCTTGTTTTATTTGTGGCATTTATATAAATGCCAGTTTGGAGTCTTTATTCACAGCAGTGAAAATCAACTTTAAGAAAGGTACTACAGAAAAACCCACTCATATAGGGTGAGTAATGCAAGCGTACAATAATATTTCAGCCGTGTATTGTAGGAAGAAATCAGCTATCATTTTTGCTCTTTTGTATCTTAGTACAATATCATCACCATCGATTCCAGTCAGTATTTTAAAATCTTTAAGACACGTGTTAAATGGAACTACTGAGTCAGAGTTTCCACTCTGATGCACTTTTCTCTTTCTGCCCAAAATCAATTAAACCTGACCTCAAAAAACATGGAGGTTCAAAAACAAATTACATAATGCCAATTGCATTTCCATAATTTTTTTGCTTTAAAATAATAATTCTAATTTAGTGTCTATAAAAAACATTGTTCTTAAAGCTGACCACACCCCAAAATACAATTAATCCCCATGCAGCATTTCTGCTTGTTGGCAAGCCTTCAAGAAGGCTTTTAAAATTACATTTTCTCTTTTCACAAGAACATATGGGCATATTTTCAAGATTTTTTTAATATAATAAAACTAATTTGCTAAGAAACTGACAGTTTTACACCAATAAAACTGGTAAGTGGACCTAATATAGAATGTTTTAATATCATTCCTTTTATTTAAAATCAGGTTACTTAGTTACATTGTGGGAGATTTCCCTAATCAGAGCGCAGGCAGTCACAAAAATACTTGTTATTGTGGATGTTGTAATTAACAGTCATGTTCTGCACTAAAATAATCCTCATCAGGAATGTCTGCATATGAAGAATGGAAGTCTCCACAAACCATACAATCGCAAAAAGACCAAAGGTACACTGGACAGTAGTATATTCAACTGGAAATTGACCTTGGAAGTATCTATCACTCATTTATGGGAAAGATTTACCACCTATTACAATTCACTTTTGAGTATTGCCTCCAGCAGTATCTCCAGGCTCTTAAATCATCTCACATTCTTCCTATCTAGGATTCCTTTGAGGGGGACGTTACTCCTTGATGTGCCAGTGCCGTTGTTATAGTCAACATATCTTGGGTTGCATGTAGTGACACCACAATTACCAGTTAGATTGAGATGACTGGATAATAGCTTCTGACGAGTACGCCTGGAGACTGAACTGATGATGACTGGGATTGGTTTATGCACATAATTTGTTTTATGTAACTATCCTCCACACACTGAATTAATTATGCAAATATAACCTTGCTTTTCTCAGGAGGTTTTATAAGGCCATGAGTTCTGTTTGCTAATATTTTCATAAGCATGATTTGATGCAATTAGCAGTGACTCCTTTAAACAGACTCTATAGACTGTGTGTTTTCTGCAGCTTGTAGTTTAAATAGACGGTTTGCTGAGTTAATAGACCCCTCTTGCTGTAAAAGAGACCATCTGCCGGGAGCTTTGCTACAAGTCATCCGACCTGTAACTCACTGACAAGATGGTGTCAATGTGGCTAAGTATATTTTGTTGTTTAAATAGCACAGGTATGGAGTGATTCAGTAAACATGATTGTAGTTGCCAGGCTTCGCTTTCTGCTGGTCCAACAGGGTGATCGATCTGTTAGCATTGGAGACATTTCTAATCAGCTTTTCCAGTCTGCTTTTGATTTTTTTCTGATCTTCCAAGGCACAGCCTATGATTATGGATTGGAACTTCTGGTCAACTGGGCCCTGAGGGGCGTCAGAGGAGCAGGCATTGTAGAGAGCCATTAAGCTGTTCTTGGTGCTTCTCAAATCCTCCAGGATCTTGCTGACCGCCTCATCAATCAATGCAGTGGCCTTGCTGAGGGCCTCCTCCTGCTGAAGGCTCCGGATCGTTTCCACAGAAACCGTCACTGTTAGGGTTCGGCCAATGAGACGATCGGCTGTTAAGTTGAGTTCTTCCCGTTCGCCTGTGTAAAGATTGGAATAGACTGAGCAGTAAAATGACGCCCAGATTGAACTTGTATTTTTATCTGTGTTCGTATCTAGACATACGTGATATAAGTTATAATCTTTTGCTTATTGTCAGTCATGCCTTATTTGTTTATCTTAAATTTAAAGATAAAATTCCAAAATACGATAATGTTATGAATGTGAAGCATCTTGGGACAATTGACTATGCTATATAAAAATTAAGCAATTAGGTTGCTTCCATGATTTTGATTTTAATTCATTAGTGGGATTTGGGCATCACTAGCTGGCTAGCATTTATTACTATCTTTAGTTGCCCTTGAGAAGGTGGTGGTAAGCACCTTCGTGAACTGCTGCAGTCCATGTGCTGTAGATTGAGCCACAAAGGTCCTAGGGAAGGGATTTCAGGATTTTGACCCAGCAATACTGAAGGAACAATGATACGTTTCCAAGTCTGGATAGTTTGGAGGGGAACTTGCAGGTAGTGGTGTTCCAATGTACCTGCTGCCCTCTTCTTTTTAGATGAAAGTTGTCATGAGGTTTGGGGAATTTATGCAGTGCATCTTGTAGATGGGACATGCTGCTGTTTTTGTGTGTCAGTGGTGAAGGGAGTGAAGGTTTGTGGATATGATGCCAATCGAGCAGGTTGCTTTGTCCTGGCTGGTGTCAAGCCTCTTAAATGTTATTGGAGCTGCTCTCATATCAGCAAATGGGGAGTATTCCTTCATACTCCTGACTTGTGCCTTGTAGATGGTGAACAGGCTTAGGTGAGTCAACTTGCTGCAGAATTCCTCATTTCTGACTGGTTCTTGTAGCCACTTGTATTATATAGCAAATTCAATTCGGTTTCTGGTCAACAGTAGCCTCCAGGATGTTGATAATGTGGGATTCAATGATGGTAGTGCCACTGAATGTCAACGGGATGTGGTTATGAGAGACGATATCGCCTGGCATTTGTGTGGCATGAATGTTACTTCCCACTTTTCAACTTACGGGGAGGCAATGGCCTACTGGTATTATTGCTAGACTATTAATCCAGAAACTCAGCTAATACTCTAGGGACCTGAGTTCAAATCCCACCCTGGCAGATGGTGAATTTGAATTTAATAAAGAATCTGGAATTAAGGATCTATTGATGACAATGAAACCATTGTTTATTGTTGGAAAAAAACCGATCTGGTTTACTGATGTCCTTTAGGGAAGGAAATCTGTTGTCCCGCATACAACTCCAGACCTACAGCAATGTGGTTGACTCTTAGCTATCTCTGGGCAATTAGAAACGGGCAAATAAATGCTGGCCTAGCCAGAGATGCCCACATCCCATGAGTGACTTGCTGCATTTGGACATGGACTGCATCAGTTTCTGACTGAGCATTTTGAATACAAAAAAGGCTGGACTATAATCAACACAAATATACCTGCTGATTTTTCAGTGTAATGTTTTCTGATTAAACCTGTACCTATTACAGTGTACAAATTGATTCAATTCCAAATCTTACTACTTGCATGCTTCTCTCACCAAGTAAGCTACTGCTATTATAAAAACCGAAAGAACTGCAGATGCTGTAAATCCGGAACAAAAACAAAGTTGCTGGAAAAGCTCAGCAGATCTGGCAGCATCTGTGAAGGCAAAAACAGAATTAACGTTTTGGGTCCAGTGACCCTTCCTCAGGACTGATGTTATGTTGTATCCCCTTCATCTGAGACCCCACTTGCTTCTATTTCTCTCTCATGCTTGAGTTCCAACATTTTAATATAGAAGAAGGGAGTTTGTCCTACGGTATTGGTAAATTAGTAGGAACTCAAAACACCAGAGTATCCTTGGCATAGTGACTAAAGGCATAGGGTGCAATAAGGTTAATGGTGAGGAGAGATCAAGCCTTGCTAAGGAAAGTTTTGGGTGGAAAGGATGCAGGTGAACACACAGGCCCCTTCTTGAGTTATGAAAAGTGAAGATTTTGGGAAAATGGGACTGACCTGCCACTTCTGTCAAAGAAAAAATGTGAAGTCTAAAAGCTGTAAATTTAAAACCAAGCCAGTTACGATTTTTTTTTTCCCAGTCAAGTACACGCATTCTCACTCAGAATTTCAAACAAGCAAGACTTGGGCAAGGGCTCACCATCACTAATATGCTTCATATCCTGGCTGTTCTGCACACTTTGGATCAGTTCCAGGAGGGTCTCCTTTTCTTGCTCCATTGAAGCTGCTGCTTCCCGCAAAGCTTCCACCCTGAAATGACAACATTCACACTTTTTCAGTGTTGGGCACAAAGTTGTGACTTGGATGGAAAATCAATGATTCTAGTAATGCGTTGTGAGTACATCTTCCTAAATGATCTCCTCAGAGTCCCAAAGCACAGCAGGAGGCCATTTGTTATGCATCTGTTGTTATCCCATTTGTCAAAATACCCTAGCTCTTGCCCAAAACCCTGCATCCTCTCCCCTTTGAGATATTGAATTGCCTATGCCTTTCAAACAGTTCCATCCAGATCATAAGTCTCTGCACAAAAAAAATTCTGCTCAACTTATCTCAGTCTCTTATCACTTACTTGAAATCAGTCCCCTCGTATTGACCCGCCTGCTGGTTTCTCCCTATCCATTCTATATCAACAGCCTTCATCATTTTGGACATCTTGACTAAACTTCCTCTCGCCCTTCTCTGCTCAATGGGAGAATGATTTTAGCTTCTCCTCTCTTTAATACAGAGTAAAACCACTTACTGAAATAAATATCATTGTAGATGTTATAAATCAACTTATTTGGACATGTTATGTCACACGTTCAGGGCAGGTGGAGCTTGAATCCTGATCTTCCGGCCCATGGGATGGAACACTACTTCAAGGGCCCATAAATGCCATTGAAAGGTGACAAAATTAACTTATTTCAATACCTTTTTCATTGATTCATGATAAAGCCTTCTGTTACAGACATTCTGCATGTTGCATCCTTTCTCAATAATTTGTCCAATGTGACTGTTCCATCCACTTTTGCCTGGAGAGTCTATGGTAAAAGCAAACATGCAATTGTCTATAGACAATAAACAGTAACCAAAGAGAATTTCCCACTCTACCTGCCATGCAAACATAGGGTTAATTGCAAGTTTTGGTGATGGTCAAAACAACAATACTTGAAATCCTTGTTGAAAATGTTTCTGTATTGTGCCGATGGAACACTAGAAGGTAAGTAATTTGCATTTATTTCATGTCATCTGCCAACATCAGTAGTTATGCTGTATCTCATGATCACAAGACATCCAAAAGCCTCCTTAAAGGCAAAGAAGTTCTACGTGCAACATTGAATCTGTGGTGTGCTTGTCCTTTGGATCAAAATAAGAGGCTTGGTCACAGCAGGAGTCTGCACGTGGAAACTTTTAACATGGGGTGGGTGTTGTTCTGGAGCTACCACGTGGTTCTGGCTGACCAGGAACCTTTCCTGCTCCTAAACCCGCCATAAGTGAAATGGAAGGATTTAGAAAGTGATAGTTCTGACAAACCTTCCATGAAGGATGCAAAATAGTAATCAGTTAATCAATAAGTGTTGGTTTTGTTAACCATTTACTGTTAATCATAGATTCATACAGTACAGAAGAGGCCTTCTGCCCACAAAGTTTGTACCAGCAAACTACTACCCACACTTGTCCCGTTTTCCCTCACTAGGCCCATAGCCTTGAATATTATGACAGTTCAAATGCTTGTCCGAATACTTTTTAAAAGGTTATGAAGTTTCCCACCTCAGTTACACTTTCAGGCAGTGCATTTCAGACCCTTACCACTTTCTCAATGAAAATGTTTTACGTCAAATCCCCTCAACCTCTTGCTTTTCTCTTTTAAAATTATGCTCTTGTTATTTCTGTTCACCCTGTTCGTGCCCATCATAATCTGATTCAACGCCATCAGATCCCACCTCAACCTTCTCTGCTCCAAAGGAAACGACCCAAGCTTATTCAGCCTTTATTCAAAGGTGAAATGCTCCATCCCAGGCAACATCCTGGTAAATTTCCTATGGACTCCTGCAGTACAGTCACATCCTTCCAATAATGTGGTGACCAGAACTGCACACAACATGCCAGCTTTGACCTAACCAACATGACCTCCCTGTTCTTATAATTTACACCACAACTGATAAAGGCAAGCATCCTAGAGATGCCTTCTTAACAACCCTATTAACTTGTTCTGTACCGTCAGGGATCTGTCGACAAGAATGTCAAAATCCCTCTATTCCCTTGTCTGGTGTGGAAGGAACAAGACATTTAACAGGGTTAAACTCCATCTGCCACTGATTTGCCCAGCTGACCAATTGTCTCTAACCGCAACCTAAGATCTTCCTCCACACTGTCAAAAAAAACCAGCCAATCTTGTGTCATCCACAATCTTACTTATCATCATTGATAAATATCACAAACTATCAAGAACTCAGCACTGATCCCTGTGGTACACCACTGCACACTGGGCTCCAGTCTCACAAACAACCTTCTATCACCACCCTCTGTCTCCTGCAACTAAGCCAATTTTGGATCCAACTTGCCAAGTTACTTTGGATCCCATGAGCTTTTACCTTCTTTATCAGTTTTTGATTTGCAACTTTGTCAAAGGCCTGACTGAAATCCATATAAACTACGTCAAACTACCCTACCCTGATTCAAACACATGGTTAACTCCTCGAAAAATTCCACCAGATTTGTTAGGCATGACTTCTCTCTGATAAATCCATGTTGACTATCCCTGTCAAACTTTGTTTTTCTAAATGGAGATTAATTTTCTCATTCACTATTTTCTCCAATAGTTTCCCTACTACTGATGTTAGTCTGAGTAGTCTATAGTTCCCTGGCCTATTTCTACCACCATTGTTGTAAAATGGAACCACATTAGCTGTCCTCCAATCCTCTAGCATTTCCTCTGTAGCCAGAGATGACTTAAAAATTTGGGTCAGGGCCCCTGTAATTTCCTCCCACGTCTCCCACAGCAGCTTGGGATACAACTCATCTAGACCTGGGATTTGTCCATTTTTAAATCCACCAAAATCTCCAATACCTCCTCACTTCTTATATTTACAGTACAATATTTATTAGCAAAACAGATCAGAGAAAATGCTGCCTAGAAAGCAACTTTTTAAAGGGAATTTGTTAGTAATGTTTGAGGATGCAATGTAAGACGGTGTCAGATGTTTCTGTAGATTTAGCCATTGCTCATTTTCATATTTGCTGAGAACAATTTAAACTACAAAAGCTAAAAAAGTTTAAGTTTGAATAAACATATCTGTTAACATTTAAATGGTTAATCAATATAATTTTATTAGTTTAAGACCGGTAATTTTTAAACAATATTTACATCCCTAGCTTACATAGCAATCAAGTCCCAAGGCACGATCAACCTGAAGTTTCTGGCCCAGAGATAGCGATGCTAGCCGCCGAGTCACAGGCCTGTTTTGAAACTGCTATTTTCTTCTTCAATGTTTTCTTGATCAACATGCTCAGATGTTATAACACACCTCGCATACAGGTGGGTCTTCAACCTGGACGCCCTGGTCCAGGGACAGGGACATGACAACTGTGCCATAAAAATTCTTAAAGGTCTACTGCACGTTTATTTCCCAGGCCGTCTCCCATCGAAGTACTGGCCAGGCCTGAATTGCTTAGCTTTTAAAATCAGACAAGTTCAGGCATTTTCAGACTGGTATAGTTTTAGTCACTGTACTGTATTGACATGTAATTCTAAACTGCAGGAACAGAATATTCATTGTGAATAAACGGGAATCGGGTACACAGCATGTTAGTAAGTTTACCAAACCTAAAGAACAAAGTGGGTTTTCAAGTTTGAGCAGTTGAGAACACTGCAGTTCACATGCAGTATCAATACATTCTGCTGCAAAACCTTTTGTTTAATCAATAATCATAAACCTGTGTCCTTTGATCAGGAGCCCCGCTTCCCGTCGGCTTCCCCCTGTAAAAGCTCCTCATGATTTTGAACAGCCCCATATTAGTGCTGTCTCCAGTATTCCCTGCTGAAGGCTGAAAGAGTTCGGTGCCTGTGATCCGATATTAAAAAAATTCAGAGCGGTACACACCATTTACTGCTGACTGAAAGCTACAGTGGTATGCACCGAATGTCACCAAGAAGCAAACTGCTGGGTGAGACGGGACGCGGGATTATTAAGATTTGACAGAGGCTCAGTGGCCAGGCGAGAGGGACTGAGAGAGAGAGACAGCTAGAGAGGGGGCGGGGGGAACCAAGTCTTCACTAAAAATAGAAAGTCAGAAGTCTCTTTCCGATTCGGTAAGGCCATCCTGACCTCAACGATTTTTTTTTTCTGTTTAGGATCCCAAAGAACAATTTCAGAAAATAACAAATTACATTTTTCACCTGTGCTTTTTTTAAAAAATTATAACATACACGAGGATTAAACTCGTTTCTCAACCTGTGTGTTATTTTTGTTTCTGTATGAACCGCTTTAAAGGACGTGACTGGTGTCCTCTCCTACCTCAGCTCTAAGTTGTCCAGTGTCTCCAGTAGCCGCCCCGATCGATCTGCCATGGACACAGAGCGGAAGAACTTGTTTTCTACATCGTTCCCCTTTACCTGATTAACCTTACACTGGGCCATGGTGCTGACAAGCTTCAGGGCTGTCAACTGGCCTTTCTCTCTCTCTCTCTCCCGTTCCTCCGGGAATCTTGGTTCCTCTTGCTGTGGGATCTGCTCGTTTCCCTGCAGGAGATGAAGATTTCCAAATAGGGTGAGGACTCCCCCACTGTCCAAGGAGGGGGGTGGGGAGGGGGTAGGGTGGATAAATCTCTACTCAGAGGAAAGAAGGATGCAGAACAGAAGCAACAGAAATCTCACAGTCCCTGGCGCAGATTTGTTCCCGGCTAGTGGGATTTCTAGAAAAAAAACTCAACAGGCGCCAAGCAATATATTTAGCAAGGTGCATTTTCTCAATCTTTCTAGTCAACTGTTGGTGGAGATTGTGAACATGTCAAAACCTTTTGAAAAAATCTTTCATCCTCGTGTTTATTCTTTGTGAATCCAATTTATATCACTGTATTTCTTTTTCTGGACGTGATTTGAGACTAATTCGTTCCATTTCCCACTCCATCACCACCAAGTTCCCCTCTGAGCCACTCACCATGCTGATTTGTAAATATATTGCTCTTCCTTCAATATCTCTGATTCAAAATCCTGGAACTCCATCCCTAACAGCAATGTGGTATCCCTACACCCCAAAGACTGCATTGATTCAAGACAACAGCTCTCCACCACCAATAAATAAAAATCCTGTTTTATTTTCTCAACCCTATTTTGAGATGAATGGTTCATTCAAAAATGCTATGAGATGTACCACTCTACCCAGATCAGGCATATATTGTTCTTTGATTATTCTGAAGTTGGATCGAGTCTTGGAGATCCATGTGTCAGTGACAGTGGGTTGCACATACTCACCTCTGAGTCCGTAAGTTGCGTTCGCTTTAAGACCCCTGGTGATGTGTGCGCCCAGTCTAGGCTGACACTACTGCTCAGTATCAAGGATGTCCTTCACCTATGGAGGTGTTGTCTTTGAGATGATATTAAATAGATTGTCTCAGACTAACGCAAAAGATATCGGTAGTTTTTTTTTTAAAATGGTGTCCTAGTTAATAGTTATCTCTTAACAAACATCACTAAAATCTACTTGATCATTGTCAAGTGCAATGTAAAAACTGGCTGAATATTTCCTACATCTTAAAGTACTTCAGTGGCTGCAAAACACTTTGGAGTATCTGAAACCATAAAAAAATTACTAAATAGAAGTTTCAGAGATAGTAGGAACTGCAGATGCTGGAGAATCTGAGATAACAAGGTGTAGAGCTGGATGAACACAGCAGGCCAAGCAGCATCAGAGGAGCAGGAAAGGTGACTTTTCGGGTCTAGACCCTTCTTCAGAAATGGGGAAGGGGAAGGGGGTTCTGAAATAAATAGGGAGAGAGGGGGAGGTGGATAGAAGATGGATAGAGGAGAAGATAGGTGGAGAGGAGACAGACAGGTCAAAGAGGCGGGGATGGAGCCAGTAAAGGTGAGTGTAGGTGTGGAGTTGGGGGGGGGGATAGGTCAGTCCAGGGAGGACGGACAGGTCAAGGCTGGTAGGTAAGAGATGGGGGTGGGGCTTGAGGTGGGAGGAGGGGATAGGTGAGAGGACAGGTTAGGAAGGCAGGGACAAGCTGGGCTGGTTTTGAGATGTGGTCGGGGGAAGGGAGATTTTGAAGCTTGTGAAGTCCACATTGATACCATCGGGCTGCAGGGTTCCCAAGCGGAATATGAGTTGCTGTTCCTGCAGACTTCGGGTGGCATCGTTGTGGCACTGCAGGAGGCCCAGGATGGACATGTCGTCCAAGGAGTGGGAGGGCAAGTTGAAATGGCTTGTAACTGGGAGGTGCAGTTGCTTAGTGCGAACCGAGCAGAGGTGTTCCACAAAGCGGTCCCCAAGACTCTGCTTGGTTTCCCCGATGTCGAAGAGGCCACATTGGGAACAGCGGATACAGTATACCACACTAGCAGATGTGCAGGTGAACATCTGTTTGATGTGGAAGGTCTTCTTGGGGCCTGGGATGGGGGTGAGGGGGGAGGTGTAGGGGCAGGTGTAGCACTTCCTGCGGTTGCAGGAAAAAGTGCCGGGGGTGGTGGGGCTGGTGGGGAGTGTGGAGCGGACAAGGGAGTCATGGACAGTGAGGTCCCTCCAGAAAGCAGATAAGGGTGGGGGAGGGAAAAATGTCTTTGGTAGTGGGGTCAGATTGCAGATGGCGGAAGTGCTGGAGGATGATGCGTTGGATTCAGAGGTTGGTGGGGTGGTACATGAGGATGAGGGGATCCTGTCTTGGTTGTTATTGCAAGGAGAAGGTGTGAGGGATGCTTCACAAGCTTCTAAATCTCCCCTCCCCTGATCACATTCCAAAACCAGCCCAGCTCGTACCCGCCTCCCTAACCTGTCCTTCCTCCCACCTATCCCCTCCTCTCACCTCAAACCCCACCCCCATCTCCTACCTACCAGCCTCATCCCGCCCCCTTGACCTGTCCGTCCTCCCTGGACTGACCTATCCTCCCCTAATTCCACACCTACACTCACCTTTACTGGCTCCATCCCCGCCTCTTTGACCTGTCTGTCTCCTCTCCACCTATCTTCTCCTTTATTCATCTTCTATCTGCCTCCCCCTCTGTCCCTATTTCTTTCAGAATCCCCTTCTCCTCCCCCATTTCTGAAGAAGGGTCTAGACCCGAAACGTCAGCTTTCCTGCTCCACTGATGCTGCTTGGCCTGCTACGTTCATCCAGCTCCACACCTTGTTATCTCACTAAATAGAAGTTCTTCCTTCAACCTTCATGTGGCCATCCATGTGCACAAAAAGTGTACCAGGCTTCAACCATATGCAAACGGTTAAAAAAAAAAGCAGGATCTTACTTGGAAAATTTGGATAGAAGCAGTTTCACAACATTTCTTTCTTTGGTCATTTATTCTCTGTATGGTTCATTGGATGTTACTGACATGTTGGTTGCATTACTTGAAGATGTATAAATAAAGAATCACTATTGATGCAGTACCCATCAGATCATGTTTCCATCAAGTCAAATAGACAGCCAGACAAGCTGGTTATGTTGTTCTATTTGATTGATCTTCCAGCACATCCTCTTCCACTAAGCGTTTGCTCACCTGTTCTGACACCCTCTTTGGCCCCCTCACCTGTTGTCTGCTAATACTGTTGTAAGGCACTGTGTGGTGTTTGCTACATTAACTGTGCAATATAAACGGCAAGCTCTTGGAGATAGAGGGAGGAATGAAATAGCCAAGTCACTGAAAGAACTCTGTTCTTCACCTCCATCTGAGCTGCTTGCCATTTCCGAAACACATCACTTCTGACGCTGCTGCAATGAAATATCAGGTCAAGTTATATAATGAAGTTCAGGTTGATCTCAAACACTCAAACTGAACTCAGAGGTGATAATGTCAAGTGAGTTTGAGCTGATGTTTTTGTTGTTAAGGCACTAAGCAAATATAATTATGTCTCTCAAAATATCTCAGAAAATCTCATGACAATGGATAAAGAAAAAATATTTGATTTACGTAGCACCTATCACAATCTCCAGACATCCCAAATTCCTTCATAGCAAATGAAGCACTTTTGGAAGTTTCTTCATTATTGTAAGGAATGCCATAACCATTTTGTACAAAACAAAACTCTACTATCAGAAAAAGCTAAGTGGAGGGGAAGGGAAATCAACCTGAAATATACATTTCAGGGAAGTACATGTAAAAGATCTCCTTTCTTGGTTGCAGTTTATAGTGTTGCTTTTATGGGAACAACAATGAATTTGAGCGTTTGTACATATCTTCTTCAATTTAGTCCGCATTAGTCATACCCATTGAGTCATATGCTTATGGGGGTTTACCCAATGTTTATCTAGATGTAGTGAATCTGAACAATTAACACAAGTACCCCTTGTATTTCAACTTCACTGAAGGTGAGAAGAGTGGATATTAAATGAGAGGCTTGGCTCAAATTGTATTCTGATCTATTAGTGTACTGTACACAAAACAAGATTTCAATCAGTTTCACTTAGTTTAACAGATTCGACTCATCTCTGCCCAAAGACAAGTGGTAATCAGAGATCTTGCACCTTTTTTTTTGAGTGTTGGACATTCTGGAAAATTGTTAATTGAATTTCCTTGTATCTTTGAACAACAGGATTTCCAATATATCAGGATAGTTCTAAAGTGGAAGTTAACTAACAGCAATGTTTAACAATGAGTAATTAAAGTGTAATTTTTGTGGCAAAGATAATAAACATAGGTAGAGCTATCCATTGACCATACATAATGATTAATAAAATCTCTTCTTCAAAGTCTTTAAAAAGAGAGGTAGTCCTATTCGAGGAAAGTAGTTTTTGTAACATACAAGCACTTTAATAGCAATACTACTTCAAAGGATTTGGGAAGAGATGTCCTGAGGTCTTATCTATGAAATGCACCTTTGACGTAGGTAAGATATGGTGCATGACAAAGCATGGTGTGCAACATGGTTCTTCAAAGAGTATTGAAGATAAAAATTGAAGCTGAAAAGTCATGGATTCATGTTGAGCTTTGAACCTCTCTGATGCTTGGCATCAAGATTTTGTTTAGCATGCTACACTTCAATGTCTCATACTTTTGGGGGTGGGGGATGAATAATCCAGAAGACCTTGTAATATGCTGTGGTCAGGGGTTCAAAGCCTACCAAGGCAGCTGGAGGAATTTAAATACCATCAATAAATCTAGAATTAAAAGTCTGCCTCAGTAATTTTCTTTTGAAGGTTTCGACAGCCTCTGTCTCCATTACACTCTTAGGTAGTGCATTCCAGATCATCATCAAAACTGTCCACTGAGTTATCCTGCATTATCTTCTTCCTGCATGTATTGTTAGAATCCTATCCATTCTTTATAACTTTTCCTTCTATAACCAACTGCTAACCTTAATTCTTTAAAAAATTTATCAGAAAAGACTGGGATTCCGTATAAGGTTCATGATTCAGTCAGCACCCTCCCCTCTGCTGGGGAATTGACTTTGGGAACAGCAGGAATCATTATGGATCAGATTGTCCATTAGTTGGTCACCACACACATAAACACACAAAGCAGAAACCTAACCAAAACTAAGAGGGAGTTTAACCCTATGACCTCGTAATAGATAGAAAATCAACT